TGAAAACAGAGATTCTGTCACCTGAAAGGGACAGAGAGAGCTTTACTTGCTTGCTTGGGTGATAAGGAATTTTGTTCACAGAAAACAAATAGTAGTAATCCTGCATACAGAAGCCTGAGAATACATAATGAACTATGATAAACATCCATTACATTACTTTTGGTTGCTTATATATGTGATTTTGGTATTTTAGCAGACATTTCACACACACACACACACACACACACACACACACACAAACCAACTGTTATATCTGGTCACATTGGAAACAGTGGCTACCTTAGGAAGTCTAACCAACAACAAAGCTAGTGGAGGCGACAGTATTCCAGCTGAGCTATTCAAAATTCTAAAAGATGATGTAATTAAAGTGCTACACTCAATATGCCAGCAAATTTGGAAAACTCAACAGTTGCCACAGGATTGGAAAAGGTCAGTTTACATTCCAATTCCAAAGAAGGGCAATGCCAAAGATTGTTCGAACTACCGCACCATTGCACTCATTTCACATGCTAGCAAAGTTATGCTCAAAATCATACAAGCTAGGCTCCAGCAATATGTGGACAGAAAACTACCAGAAGTACAGGGAGGATTTCGAAGAGGCAGAGGAACTAGAGATCAAATTGCCAACATATGCTGGATCATGGAGAAAGCCAGGGAGTTCTGGAAAAAACATTTAGTTTTGCTTCATTGATTATGCCAAGGCCTTTGATTGTGCAGATCACAACAAACTGTGGCAAGTTCTTAAAGAGATGGGAGTACCAGACCATCTTATTTGTCTCTTGAGAAACCTATATGCAGATCAAGAAGCAACAGTAGAACTGGGCATGGAACTACTGATTGGTTCAAAACTGGAAAAGGAGTGGCAAGGCTGTATACTGTCACCCTGCCTATTTAACTTATATGCAGAGCACAGCATGCGAAAAGTGGGGCTAGATGAATCACCAGTTGCAATTAAGATTGCCTGGAGAAATATCAACAACCTCAGATATGCAGATGATACCACTCTAATGGCAGAAAGTAAAGAGGAACTAAAGAGCCTCTTGATGCGGGTGAAGCACAAAAGTTGGCTTGAAACTCAACATCAAGAAAACTAAGATCATGGCATCTGGTCCTATCATTTCCTGGCAAATAGATGGGAAAAAATGGAGGTAGTGCCAGATTTTACTCTCCTGGGCTCCAAGATCACCGCAGATGGGGACTGCAGCCAAGAAATTAAAAGACGCTTGCTCCTCGGGAGGAAAGCTACGGCAAATCTAGACAGCATATTAAAAAGCAGAGACATCACGCTGTTGACAAAAGTTCATATAGTCAAGGCTATGGTTTTCCCAGTTGCAATGTATGGCTGGGAAAGCTGGACTATAAGGAAGGCTGAGCACCGAAGAATTGAGGCCTTTGAATTGTGGTTCTGGAACAGACTCCTGCGAGTCCCTTGGACTGCAAGGAGATCAAACCAGTCAGTTTTAGAGGAGATCAACCCTGACTGCTCTTTAGAAGTCCAGGTACTGAAGATGAAACTCAAATACTTTGGCCGCCTAATGAGAAGGAAGGACTCTCTGGAGAAGAGCCTAATGCTGCAACAGTTGATGGCAAAAGAAGAGGGATGGCAGAGGATGAGGTGGCTAGATGGAGTTACTGAAGCAGTCGGTGTGAACTTAAGTGGACTCTGGGGAATGGTGGAGGACAGGAAGGCCTGGAGGAGTGTTGTCCATGGGATTGTGATGTGCCGGACGCGACTTCGCAAGTAGCAACAACAAGCAAAATGTTAGACATGATCAAATTAGTTCTTAATGAATTTGGTGGATCCACTATAAACAAATCTATATCTAAATCAATACGTATAGTGTGGTTCTGGAAGGGGGGAATTGCCTTCTGAACAAATGTATATCCCCTTCCTAGGAGTGAAAAGTGATAATGAGATGGGTTAGACAAGAAACATTTTTCTTTGGACAAAATAAAGTACTATAATTTAAGTATAGTTCTAAAAAAGTTAAATATATTTAGAAAAACAGCTTACCCAAGGCTTTAATATGTTCTTTGTTTGTGAACACTTGCTTCTATGTAGATCTTTTTTATTAGTACTTAAGTGCAGTAATTGCCTTGAGATAAGGAGGTCTGGGCATACTGTGAAATCATTATGCTGCTAAGGACTTATTCACGTAGTTGCTTCCCTCCACCAATGTATTTATGAATGATGTTAGTGCGATGATTGAATGCCCATACCCAGGGAAAAAAGGTGGTTGTCAGCACAGTAGACTTCTTAAATAGCACTAAAATATTAGATTATTTCTATAGTAAGTAAATCATAAGGCAACCTCAAACTTTGAGGTTGTGTCAAGTTCCATCATTTCTCCTTATGATACTTTCCTTCCACTCTTTATTTTTTGTTACCTCATAAAAGCACTTGAAGGGCGGCGGGGAGGAGGGGTTCTGTTTAACCTTTTATAGTGTTCTTGCTGGTTCACAATAATATGTCCCACTCCTTATCTTTTCGAAAGCAAACTGTAACTGCTTTATTTGAATAAAGTAAGATATTGGCAAAGGAGATCCTAGAACTGTATTCATTGTATATGTAGTTCTTCTGCAGGGGGATTATTTAAACTTGACAATGGAAAGCAAAATATTTAATACACACTTGGAATTGGGGTAGCTATAGTACTTGACTGAATAGAGGAAGACATGGCTTCAGAACTATGTGCATATGTGGTGTTTTCAAGGATTATCATAAGTTTTTGAGTTGAAATATTAAGTTGATGGCTCATAAAATCTTAGTGACTTGAGTGAATACTGAACTTTCTAGTAAGTGATGGTCGAACTTAACAGTGAGAAGCCTTATCAAGGGAATATATGAGTAAATAAATTCTAGTTGGTGAAGTCTTGGCCATAATCCCCCTGCCCCCCCGATAGCTGCTTGTTTGGAAAAGAAAGTCCCCAAAGTTGCTGTCCTTGGGTGGGAGATGAAGTTTGACCAAAGGGTACAATTTCTTTTAAAAATTGGTGTAATATTTTAAGAACCCTAATAAGCTTCTTAGAAAAAATGTATCACTTTAGTTGACCAGTGTGCTTTTTCTAGTTAGCCATGATGATCTTATTCTAGCTTGTTCAGGGCCTATATGCCATCAAAGGAAATCTTTCTTCTCAGTCTCCCCACTTTTGCTGCTTTTGCAGTAGTTAGAAGCTTTCTGTTTCTGGTAGAAGAAGAGAACTTGGACTTTCTTTATTAACTTGGACTTTCATCTAGTTTTGGTGTGCTGAGTGGACTTAAGACCATTGGGAAAGGTGTTTTCACTATGATTCTTCCTTGATTTTTATCAGAGTTGTGAATGAACTCGATTGATGAACTTTGATGTAGCCAGTCTCAATCCTATACCTTAGATAATTAGCATTTATATAACATTTTTAGTATCCTAAGCATCACATTTAGAGCAATACCTTAAAGATTCTTATGATATTATACAGTTCAGAATTACCACTATCACAAGACAGGTGAGAATATCATGTACTCTCTTAGCCTCTCTACTGAACAAGACTTTAAATATCCACTTTAAATATTGAACATTACTCATATCCTATGTAAAGCAAATTAATGGAAGAATATCAATGGTTACTTGTAGTAGTGTTCTGTGCCATTTGGTTTGTTGGGGAAAAAACATACCCCACAAGCATTCCCACTGAATTGTAATTGTAAATGTGATCAAGAAGAATAAGTTGGATCCAGATTTAGTCAGAGTTAGAGTAGATACATTAAGATCACAGTCCTATGCAACTATAAGCTGGAAGAACACCTACTATTCCCAACATGCCCCAGCCAGCTACAACTAAAGTTAGAGCCTATCCATTATTTCAAGTTAGAAAAGTGAAAACCAGAAATGTATTGATCATGTTTAATGTATATAACATACAGTCTATTAATGCTGACATGATCTTGACTGAATAAAAAAAACATTCTTACTAGTTGCACACAAGATAGATTTCTACATGTACAATTAAAAAACACACTATCATTAAGAGATCTGTGGTATAGTAGTATATCAGCTATATAATAATCTGTGGAATTTTTAACACCCACAAAAGCTTCCAATGCCTTAGTGTACTTACTGTGAATAATACTGGCAAACACCCACTGCTCCATTAACTTTTAAAATATAAATATGGGGGTGTTCTTTTATTCATGTTACCAATAGTACTTTGTTGATTTGATAGCTGATAATACTCATTGACTATGTGTACACCATTGTTTCATAAAAGCCACATATTCAGGCTAGGATAGTATAATGAATTACATATTTAGTTCTAACATTAAAAGGTTTTACTATCTTAGCATATCAGCAGTTTATTAAATTAATAGTGTAATTTCTTTGCACTTCTGAGAAGGAAATCCCAGCAATATATTATGAAGGAGATTAGCTATTTCATACTTTATGGTAGGCTGATTTCTAACCTGAATTGAAATTATATCAGGCTGATTAGTTACTTTCATTTTTCATTAAAACATGTTGATAGGCTTTCTGCCATACTTGTTAGCACCTTATGCTAAGTAGACTTTAAAGTTAAAATTGTGTGGAGAAAATCCAAGAATAACTTTTTCTGAGACACCTTCTAATAGGATTCAGTGATTCTCAACAGACAACATTGTTTCTGGTTCATTTCCCTTTTAGCCTTGAAGCTAAAAGGGAAATATTGTTCCTTCAATCCTAAATCTGAAGTACACAAGTGAAGCTCAGTTTTTATAAGCTAGTGCTTCTGAAAAGTTGGCTGCTGTGATATCATTCCATTATCCTGTGTGGTTTTCCAGTCTTTATAATCTAGTTAATTTTACAGAAACCTATTTCTATTGCCAAGATTGTGAATTAAACATTCTTCTTAATGGTTCTGGTTTTTCAGCTTCTGTATATTACTGCAACATAGGCAAGTTCAGATAAGTGAAACTTCATAGTAAATGTACTTAGGATTGCAGCTTTAAATGGATAGTGGCTTTAAATATCCCTGTCATTGTGCTACAGGAACCATTTGAAGATGGATTTGCAAATGGTGAAGAAGGTACTCCTACTGGAGAAGCCACTGCCACTTACTCTGCTGATGGTAAAGGAATTGTCAAGTTTGGTTGGATCAAAGGTGTATTGGTGAGTAGAACTTTGGTATTTAATTACCCATCTAAACTATTAGGTATTTCCCTTTCTCGAGTCTGATTTTTTTAGGAGCAATCCTGTGCCCTTTATCTTAGAGCAAAATCCTGTGCTGCTCCATTCTATGCTCTCTTGGTTCTTGCCTACAAGGTAGAAATGTAGGAGGAATGGTTTCCTGTAAGTTTCCTCTATTTATGAATCAAAATAGTGAACAATAAAAAGTTAAAAAGAATAAAGCTGTACATTAAAACAGTGGGTGATCAGTTGAGGAAGGCTTTCTGAAATAATGTTTTCAAGAGGCTCTTCTCTGTGGGGACTCATTTAGCTTTTCTTTGGGTAGGCTCCAATTTGGCCACAGGTCCATGTCGAACCATGAGGAGTATGCCATCTGATGACTTGGACTGGTTGGGCCCAAGTTGTTTAGGGCTTCATGTATTAGTACCAAAATCTTAAACCTGCCCTGATGGTAAATAGTGCATGCTATAAAAGAGCGGTTCTGTTAGACTATCTTGTACAGAAAAATCCACCTTATATGAACAAAATTATTTGTGAGGAATATGGGCATGTCACTGGTGCATTAAGGTTATCACATAATGAACAAATTATTTGCATATAGCTTATTATTATTATTTGCATATAGCTAAAATAATTGGAGTTACTTTCTTGCCTTCTGGTTTCCAGTTGCACAGACATATTAACTACCTTTTTTCCTATACAGCATCCTTCCCCAACCTTGTACCTTCCAGACATGTTTGGAGTTCAACACCAAGAATTTCAAGTCAATGGCCTTGCTGGATGGGAATTCTGGAAGTTCCAGTCCAAATGCCTCTGAAGGCCACTGGTTGGAGAAGGCTGCTATACAGAATAAAAGTGTCTGCACATAAACTTAAATAATATTTGTGGTGATTTCTGTCTATAGAGAATATAGTTCTTAAAATATAGTGCCTTGTATGAGTTCGTTTTTAAAAATGGTTTGCTAAAGCAGGCCTGTCCAAGTTGAATTCATCTGGTCTAATGAATCCCACAGGCTATGTACAGTGGCACAGAAAGGGATAATCAAAGTAGGTTGATACCTTACTTTGGTTATCAACTTCGTACTGATGAAATGAAGGTAAAATAGTAATGTGGCATGTTTAGTGTGTTCTGTTTGATCTCAGCGTGTCACAAGTTGTGTTGATCTTCTGAAAGGGGTAGTTTAAATCTTGGTCGCTCCCACAGTAAACTTTTGAGGTTGATCTTGTAAACCTGATTTCCTTACAAATTATGTTCTAGCTTCTCTATCGGGTATGAGTATTCAAATAACCTAAACAGAGTTTAGATTATTATGGACAGCATGATATGAACATTTGTTACTCTGATGTTACAGGTACGGTGTATGTTGAATATCTGGGGTGTGATGCTCTTCATTCGACTCTCCTGGATTGTAGGACATGCTGGAATAGGTAAGTCAGCTTCTGAATGTAACATTAATTTTATTTAAAGATGTGCATACCACTGTGCTTTGAATCATAACATGTATTTAACACTAAATGTTGTATACAAAATACTTTAAAGCAATAATTAAAGAAACACTAAATTTAACAAAAAAAGCTAGGTATAAAGATAAGCAAATGCCTCAGTATATAGGTAATTTTTCATCAAGTGCTTAAGCACCATCAAGGATGAGCCTATTGTACTGCAGGGAGAAGAAAATTCCAAAGTTGAAATGCTACACTAGGAAAGACCCTATGCTTGGTTGCTGTCAGATATACCTGTGTAGGCAATAGAAAAACCAGGAAACTTTGATCTGTGTAACTCAGTGAACAGACAGGTTAATATAGTCTCTCAGATGCCAAGTTGTTTCAAGCCTTGTTTCAGCATAACATTGCTCTGAAATTGGCTTGGCAACACTGACAGTGAATGCAGTTCTCTGAGCAAAGGTGTAAGATACTTATGGTAGTTATACTCAGTGACCTGTCTGCTGAATTTTACACTAGCTGCAATTTGTGGAATTGTCTTAAACAACGCTCCACACAGAGCATATTGCAATAATCAACCTTGAGAAGTTACCACTGCATAAATTACCGGCTAGACTATGCCTATCCAGGGGCTAACTGGTGTAACAACTGAAACTGGTAAAGGGGTTGCCTAGTTAAAATGGCTGCTGCACATGCCACACAACCTCACCATGGGTGCAGTAACTGACTGTGGTCTAATGTGTCAGGCAAAGAGCCCTACAGTTACCAGTACAGATTTTTCACACCAGTCCTGCAAATAGGAGAACAACTGTAATACTGTGCCTCCATTTCTGTGCTACTTAGCCTGAAAAGCCATTAAAGATCGAATCCTTGTGAGTTAGTAAAAATTGAGGGAAATCTGAATGAGAAAAATGGACTGTTACTTAATATCCCATGACATTTTCAACAAGGAAAAAAATCAATTGGTTACTTCCATTAAGAGGCTCAGTGTGTTCCCCTTGTGTATTTTTTAAGAGCAAGATTATTTCTTGTTTTGTTATTTCACTAGCAAAATATGATAAGAACTTGGAATGTACTTGATGGATTAGTCCTGTGTTAGATTCTCAGGCAATTTTTCCTTACTTGATTAGAAATTAACAAATGGTGTCCACAAAAGGTAAAATACATGCTTTACCTGAAAAGAGTAAGGTAACATGCTATGCTGAACATGTTATTTTGTAAGTCGTGCATCTCTTTGGTTTAAGACAAAGAGGTTTATTTGCTTTGTATTACTTTGATACAATGAAACCAGCAGTTAGCCTTTGATAAATAATATCAATTAAATAGTTTAGGAAAACTATAATTGCTATGAATAATCATAGGAATAATATTCTTTTTACAGGACTTGCAGTCTTAGTCATCATGATGGCTACAGTTGTAACTACTATCACAGGCTTGTCTACATCAGCAATAGCTACCAATGGCTTTGTAAGAGGAGGTAAAACTACCTTTATTAATACTTCTGTAAATACTGATTGCCAAATGTAATCAGTATGTATGATTCACCTAACATCTATATGAAAGTTTTGTTGTAAAAGCCACTCATAATAAAGGACATGGCCTTTAAGAAATTAAATTGACGTGGTGCATTTGGAAGTTGTTAACTGGGTGTGTATGTGATAGATCCTTACTACATATGGTGTGATAGCGCCTCAGCAGAGGTCTTCTGACTTGTGTAAAATAATTTGCATTCAGACAGAGATGGTGAGCTTGGTACATCATGCTTGCATCAGTAGCAGAGAGTTCCTAGAGCCTCCAAAGCACCTATAAGTTAAGGTAGAACAGTGCAATCCTTATTCACTTTATTGAGTAGAAAATCCCAGTGATTGGATTTTTTTCCACCTAATTATGCTTAATGTTTCCAGACTTTTCATGTGAGGCGGTTGAAAATCTGTATTTTGAAATCAGCTTGTTGTCTTTTAGTGACAGGCGGCATTTTTAAATAGTTGTATGGGTATGTAATTGATTTAGATTTGTTTATAAGCTCTTTGCTAGCTAGAGTTGGTTTGCTTTGTTGATACAACATGGCAGGAGTAACTGATTGAATTGGACAATTTAGCTAGCATTTACTTTTCCACATAAACTGCTAGTGCTGTTGGGTTCCATAGAAGATTTTAATAAATAGATGAGATGAGCATATACATGATGATTATATATTCTAAGGGAATACAGAAGAAATATGATATTTGAGCTTACCATTTGAAACGTTTTTTATTTTCTTTGACCTCAGCGTGTACATTTTGAAGTGATTTTTATTATTTCTCTAAAAATGGTCTTAAGAATGAATGGGATTCATTTTTTTAATATTCTGTTTTAAAACCAAACATCACCTGAATACCTTATGAAAGACAATAGGTTTGCTGTTTTTTTTTTTAAGAAAGTAGAAGAACTAGGGAATGTATGACAGATGTCCATTTAATAGCATGGTGATGTTAACTGCAATAAAGGTTAGAACTGTTTTGCCAATATGAATAAGAAACACTGGTTGGATGAGTTCCCAAAGAATTGCAAGAGTGGGCAGCTCAGAACTTCCTCTTGCTGAGTACATCCCTTCCTTTCCTGCTATTGCTCAGCCATGTAGGACAGTCAGAATCCCCACTTAGCCATCCCCAACCAAATAAAAAAATTTTGGGGATATTTAAACCCATTCATTATGCTAGTGAATATTTGTGTTTCAAAGAATTTGGGTGGCTTCAGTTGCATGTATTATTATTATTTGACTTATTTTTTGATCGTTGGCCTGAGGGCCCTCTAAGTGGATCACAGTAAATAAAACATACAATAACAATAAAAGCAACAATTAAAACACAATGAACAAAAGACAATAAAACAAGACATTATACAGCTGAGAAGAGTAGTAAAACTATACGTATTAATCAACAATCAAGTTAAAATTATCAGAATAAAATTATTAAAATGCCTAGAGAATAAAACTTTTTTTTTCCTGGTGCCGAAAAGATTGTAATGAGGGCCCTAGGCAATCTGCTTTTGAGAAGCTGTTCCATAGGTGGTGTGCAACTATGGAGAAGGCCCCTCTTCTATTAGCCATTTTCCTTAAATCTTTGGAGAATATCTCTTTTAGAAGGGCCTCCAAAACAGATCTTAGGAGCTGGGTAGGCACATATGGGAATTAGTGGTCCTTCAGGTACCTTGGTCCCAAGCTATTTAGGGCTCTATATGTTAAAACAAGAACCTTAAATTGGGTCCAGAGCTCAACTGGTAGCCTTTGAAGATGATAAAGTATTGGGGATACATGGGCATGCAATTCTGCTTGTACCAGCAGTCATGCCACCCTGTTCTGTACCAGTTGAATCTGGACTGTCTTCAAGGGCAGCCTTGCATAGAGCATGTTACAGTAGTCCAGTTGAGAGGTTCTAGAGCATGGGTGACTATGGCTGGGTTCTGCCTGTCCGGGTAGGGCTGAAGTTGATAATTTTGAAGTTGACTCAAGTGATAATTTTGGTTTCAGGAGTACTCCCAAGCTACAAAGCCTTGGTTTCAGGGGGAGTGCAACCCCGTCCAGGACTGGTTGAGGGCCCACCCTCTGGGTAGATGGACTATCCACCAGCAGCACCTCCATCTTATTTGGATTGAGCTTCAGTATGTTGCACACATGCTGTCCGTTTTAAAGCTCAGGCAATGCTTCTGAATGGAAACCATGTCACCTGGGTTAGATGAAAAGGAGATGTAAAGCTGTGTGTTATCAGCGTACTGATGACTTTGCAGCCCCCACCTCCAAATGACATCTCCTAGCTGTTACATGTATATGTTAAACAGCATGGGGAAAAGTATAGCTCCCTGAGGAATCCTATAATGCAATTCCCATGCGGTAGAGCTACTGTCCCCCAGCACTACCATCTAGGCATAGTCGGCCAGGTAGGAGCAGAAACACTGTAGTATAGTGCCTCCATCTCCCAGCCCATCCAGCCTGTTTCAAAGGCACCATAGGCAATGGCTTTCAGAGCCAAAGAAAGGTCTTGGAGAACCAGCAAGGTCACACACCCCTGTCCCTCTCCTGGTAAAGGTCATCCCACAGGGAGACCAATGCAGTCTCTGTTCCAAACCACAGCCTGAAACCCTATTGAAATGGATCAGGATAATCCATTTCATCCAAGAGTGCCTGGAGCCACTGAACCATCACCTGCCTGAGCACCTTGCTCAAAAATGCCCTATAATTGGCAGTGACCCCTGGCCTATAATTGGCAGTGGTCCCTGGGTCCAGGTTTGGCTTTTTAGAAGCAGTCATACCACAGCCTCTTTCAAAGAGGCTGGGACCACCCCCTTTCTTAAGGAGGCGTTGACACATCATCGCCTTAAGCTCAGATGTTTCCAAAGGAGCTGGCTGGGCTCTGTGAGAGTGGAGTAGACACTTAGGAACAATCTTGTTAGCTGCCCAACTCATCTCTGCATTCTACAGAGCAACTTGGGCTTTGACAGGAGAGCCAGCCATGTCAGATGTCTGGAAACCCTTTGGATCCATCAGTCTCTGGGGGTGCACCATCTTAATAGGCCCCACACCATTGCAGAAGGGAAAAGGAGCCAACAGCCTAAACTTCACTAGAACATGGTCAGGTCATGACAACAGGGTTATTGTTAACCCCTCCACATATGATCCATCATCTTTCAGATCTGTCAAAAAGACCAGGTCCGTAGTGTACCCCTTTCATGTGTTGGGCCAGTCACATGTTGAGCAGCCCCATGGTTGTCATGGTGACTATGAAGTCCTGAGCTGCCCCAGATAAAGCAGGCATGACATGCATGGTGAGGTCCTCAACACCAGGTCCGAGTTTACATCTGTCAGCTCAGGCAGGGAGCATGCTGGGTAGCTAGGTGGGCGGTACACCAGCAAAATCCCTAGTCTGTTTTGGGAGCCCAACATCAGGTATGAGCACTCAGACCCAGGCATTGACTGGATCAGAATTCTGGTGAGGGAACATGTATCTTTATAGACTATGACCACCCCCTACTGGTAGTTTCCAAAATATATCTTCCTTGGACTCAGCATGCAAAAAGCCAGACCAAAAATAATAGGACACTTATTTATACAAAGTGTCTAGATCTCCATGTTGTAAGGAAAATATATCAGTACCCATTAATTCTTGTAGTGTTAATCAAGCATTATGTTAAGCAGTATGTTAGAGTTGAATCCCTTAACTGTTTAATACAGACAGGTGTTCCTGTAATAAAGCTAATAGGACTAATGCTTCTGTTGTGTTCCTTTGCTGTAAGACATCATTTTTGCTACTGAATATCAGGTTTGGGATATGCAAGCAATTTCAAAACATGTACACTTTTGTTTGGAATTGTATTTGCTTGGAATTAAATCCCAGTGTAATTTATTTAAACATGCATGAGCTCACAGTTTAAAAGGCCAATTCACAAACTCCATCCCTTGGAAGTTAATGGAACATCACCTTGTTAAAGTATCCATAAAATGTATTAAACATTGTGCCCACAAGTGGTGGCATGGCCTTGGGGAGAACATAAAAACTTGTGTTAAAACATAGTTTGTGTAGCTTCATGTTATTTATATGAATTATATGGCATAAATATGATAGAGGCAATTTCTATTAATGAGAAATTGCTACTTGTAATAATAATATGTACAGAAGAAAGATCATTTGTTTCTGAGCACTACGTTGCTTGAAGATTTTGAAGTAAGTGTATAATCCAATATCCAGCTGTTTTTTGATTAGACATTGCTAATGTCTAATCAATAGTGTGTTAAGGATATTTTATTTGTACAGAAAATGAGATTTTCATGTTCATGTGACTTGTTTTTTAGTTATCAGTGTAAGTATGCAACAAACACTGAGTTTCAAGAAAGCAGGTTGTGTGTTGTATTGTGTCTGGAAATGCTGCTGTACTAATTCCCATGTCAAAAATTCCAAATAGAAGCTGTGAGAGAAGAAAAAAAAAACATTATATAGTCTTTGTTTGTTTGTTTAAAACTTTGTTAGACCATCCCTTACTGTAGTCTTGGGATAGTTTAACAAGAAGTTTGTGATGTCCCTGGATTTAGTTCTGTTTCTACCTTTCTAAGCAATGGAATTCTGTGAGGGTGCACTTTTCCACTTTCAACTGGTTCCACAACAGCTGCTGCTTAGTCACACAAAAGCTTTCAATTAGTTTACAACCAGACTAGACCTGTTTACAAAATTGTGGTTGCATTTTGTTTTTATTTTAATCTTACACTTGAAGTAAACTTTTTTGTATTTCAAGTACTAGTTTTTTATTTTAAACAGTAACTAGCAGCCCTCTGTTACCACAATGCAAATAAGTTTTGGAGGCAAGATACTCCTTAGGATTGTTATAAGGGATCAAATCTGTTTTATTTGTGTGATTATTGTTTAACTAGTTCTTACCATTTTGTATTCTATTCTGTGTTTTGTTGACTGCACCCAGCATCCTGCTTTTTAAACACTAAGTGAATGATGGATGACTGAAAGGGGGTTAATTTTCCCTTCCCCATTTGTTGCAGTTCACATAATTATCAGTCAACCTATTTCATCTTTTTAAAATGTTCTTATCGTGTATTATTTGGCCCTTTGATCTGGTGTTTTTAGGAAGAACATTTTTAGAAAGCTGATGGGATTGTGTAAGTGCCACTTTTGAAGTACTTTTGTACATGTACTAAATGTATTTGTTATCTGCCTATTGGGAACAGGCAGATTAGAGAGTAAATGTTGTCTGAATGAATAAAGAAACATGTTTCTATATCAGTGAACAATATCCCTTTATTATGATAGAAACCTAAATTTTAATTCAACTTGATCTGCTCTAGAAAAATGGTAAAAATTCAATGTTTATTTTTATGAGCTCAAACTCTGCAAACTGGTACACTTGTACTTCAAAGCAGCCTGGTTAGAAGAAAAGCCTGTCCTTGTAGTATCAGCAAGAGACATGTAGAGTGCAAGCTTTATTTGTGAATATAAAAACATCATGCATACTAAACCTCAGTCAACCACAAACTTTCTTAAATTCTCTTTTCTTTCCTCAGGGGGAGCTTATTACCTAATTTCCAGAAGTCTTGGTCCAGAATTTGGTGGTGCAATTGGTTTGATTTTTGCATTTGCTAATGCAGTTGCTGTAGCCATGTATGTAGTTGGTTTTGCAGAGACCGTTGTAGAACTGCTTAAGGTAAATGAATTGCATTAGCTTGGTTGCTGCTATTATTGCATTTTACATCTGTTTTCTGCAGCACTTCTGTGGTTTGAATGATCTATAAGAACTGTTAGGTAGGTTGCTAATGTGTGATGGAAAATCTATATTATTGAATGACCCACTGTTTTTAGGAGGGGCATGTAAATGACCTTGGATTTGGTACTGTCAGCATAATGGTTGACAAGCAAAATACTTTTTGGGTCAAGCTTTAGATCAAGTGATTGTGGCTTAGTTGCGCTTAACTTTTAAGGCAGTAGAAAGTAGAAGTAGGGTCAGAGAACCTTGAAACCAGTTCTTGGAGCCCGTGGATAACTGGGACTGTTCCTCAGCAGCTTCTTGCCTCCCTTTCAAACTGACTGCATGGTAAACCGTGAAAATGAGGAGAAGAGTAAGGAATTTAAAAAGCACAAGGCTTTTACAATTGTTTGTAGACTATCAGGTATTTAATTTTAAAACAAATTAATAAACATTTTGAGATGAATAGGGCTAAAGAACATGGGGCTGTAAATAGGACATCAAACTATTAAAATTTGGAATTTCACTCTGCTTAAACTTTATATCTCTTATTTTTCTGATTAAGTAGTAAGGGTATAGACTTACTTCCCATTTTCCTTCCCTCAAGAGTTTTCTGCTTAGAAAATATTCATAGTTTCCCCTGATATCTACATGGGTAATGTCTGTTGAGTGCTTGTCCTATAAACCAGAATTGGAAGCAGTTAGATGTTTCTGTTTTAGAAAATAAATATTTGTCATAGAGTTAAATCCAATATCCATTTGCTGTCCTCTCTTGCAGCCACTGCTTAAATCTAACATCACCTGCATACATTTCCTGTGTGCTCCAGAGAGTCCTCCAACTGTTGCCCCCTACCCCAGTAGCATATGGTCAAGGCTGGATACAACAGCATCCAACTGTCATTCAACAAACTCAACTACCGCAAACTGATCTGTACCAGTACTCTTTTGTGCAAGCATTTATGCATTATGCTTCTGAAAATGGTTGTGCAAGCATAATACACATCTGTTTATACAACTACAGTTATCCATACATAACATAGGTTGGATTTTCCTCTTACACACATTGGAACCTATTTTTGTTTAACACATCATTTGTGCTAGTAGAACGGCACAGTTGGATATTACCCATAGTTGGATACTACCCAAGGCTAGCTGAGAAGGTTGTTGTGAGTGAGATGGGAAGCAGCAGCATAGGTAATCGTGTTTTTCCTTAATCTCCTCCAAAACATGGCTTAAAAGATTGAATTACTACTGCCTCTAAAACAACTGGTTAGCAACCATTCAAAATACAAGTATAAACGTTTGATTTTTATCTTTATGAACAATAGCTCCTATAAGATGAATATAGTACTATATTTTCCAAAACTCTCATATTTGACCACTTAAAGAGCAGAATGAATTATTGTCTTTGATCATTCTATATTTTCTTTTATAGTAGGAAAGATAATAAAATTTTAGTTTGCTCAAACTTTAAAAATGCACATTGCCAAAACTTATGTATATACTCTTTCTCTCTTTTTGTAGGAAAATGGCATACTTATGTTGGATCAAATGAATGACATCAGAATTATAGGAGCAATCACAATTGTTATTTTGTTAGGCATCTCTGTAGCAGGAATGGAATGGGAAGCTAAAGTAAGTAATGCTCATTCAAAAAACCTATTGTAAATGAATTAACATCTTTAAATATCTGTGATGCAATTTAGCAAAAGCATTGAAAGAACTTACATTGGTATTAATACTCAGTATTTTGACTGTGGTACATTCTTTCAATAACTGTAGTTAAGGTCATGATATGACTGTTATGAAGAGTCTGTTTGAAATTACCTCAGTTGTGAACACTTTTTAGGAATTTTGCAAATACTGTATCAGACTATTTTGGCCTTGGAGCAAGCTGTCAGGCGCTCACTGTAGATAAGTGTCTTGAACAAACAGTAGGGGTTGTGAACTGTTTTTAAGCTTTGCACAAAAAGGAAGACGGTGTACAGTTGATATAAATTGACACAACATTTCTGGGTTTTGAATGAGATCAGTGTTACTGACACAGTGATGTGTACAGTTTGCAAGAGTCTTGTTCAGTAACTATTTGGAAACTCTGGACCTTGTATTGGTGCAAGATTTACATATCCATTTTTGAAGTTTACATTTCCTTAATTTGTGAGTTTGTGCTAAGGTAATTAGACCCTTTTGCATATCCTGAGCCATTCTTTACAGCTTTCTTGACAGGGGGATCAGAACATGTTGCATAGGTTTCCATCATGCTGTTATCAGATGTCTTCCTTATGGAAGCATGTAAGAAAATCAACAAATACGCTGCAAAATAGATATATAAACCCCATCCATATTACTGCATCTATAAGAGGTCATTCTAGTGATATGCATGAACACTCAAATCAGTTAACTTTCAATTCTAGATATAGATTATTAAAACCTAATAAAACTTACCCTTAGTGAAAAATAATATGGCCAGTCTTTGAAGCAAAAACTTTACAAATCATGTAATCCTACATTCATTCAGAAATGGTTTGGTCTGTGTAGTACAGAATATATCTCATACTCAGTTTTTATTAGTGACTCTTGTATAGCATACAAGACATCAGTTTAAGAAATATTTAAGAAGGATCATTATACCATCTTTACTTGCAGAATAAAATTGTACAGATTGAGCAGGACTTTAAAATACTGGACCCTTCAGATTAAGTACAGCAAAATCTTCAGAACCTATTATAAACATACTTTCAAAATATATTAAAATGCGACATATTTCTTCCCAGGTTAAAAAAAAAAAAAGCTTACATAAGCATTCATAAAAGGAGCCTGAATATGAAGCTTAGATATTATGAATGTATGGTTTCCACAGAGTTTCAAATTGTTAACTGAGTCAACTCTTATATATAAGGGTAGGTGTATTTTTTCAGCTAAAACCAGCTTTTCTCAAATGGTTAACTGAGTACTTCCAGTTTCTTGATCATGTGGGGTAGCTCATGGGCTGCATGCTATCCTTGGAGGCTTTCAGTGCAGATATCCAACCTTTCACCAGCAAATTATGCTGCCAGTTGTGCTCCTACAAGTTTTCCATTAAGATGTTCAGTGGGCTGGGAACAGCACAATTTTCTTTGGCATAAATCCTGACAGCTGAGCCTGCCAAATATTTGAATGCTAAACTTTTATTGTAAGTATGAAATACCCATGAAGCATTAAAATGTAAGGACATTACACACAGAAGGCACATTGGGGTTACACTGTTAATGCTGCTCTAGACATCGCAAACATACCTGGTCCTGCTTTGTAATAGCTACGTATTGAGTATAAATATCTGAAAATAGAAAGTGTTTGCTCCTAGAGGCATCCAAACAATCTTTAACTCTGCATAATTGGAGTGCCATATCACACAGCTAGTATAGCTCTTCATGTGAAGGCCTCTTCCTGATTGCATGCTCACCAAATGGAGAGGGACAATCATAGTCAAGCTGCAAAACATCAGAGAATGTAGCCAATCGGACTGACCTCAATTCTGATCTGCACATGGGCCTTCTTCACATGTATAATGCATGGATTCCGCAAAGTACAGTGATCAGAGGGCCCCTGGTTAAACATGCCATATGGTTACCCATGAATTACTCAATCCTCCTTCCCTGAGAAAGAAAGCAAAATATTCTGTCCACCTTTCCAAAGCTAAATTGCAAATGAAGCCTCATACAGGATCCAGCTTTGTTTCTGGTGACTTCAGAGGGAAGCTTACTTCTCTTGAGAAAAACCAGGAACAGTTCCAAGGAGCTCAATTCAGCTTGGGCTCTGGCTATATCTGATACTCAGTGAGATCTTTTTTGGTATGGTTTAGATGACTTAATCTTTCTTGTTCTATTAGAATTCTTTAATTCTAATTAGAATTCGGATGTTTCCTAATTGGTCTAGTTGACATTCCACTATAAAACAGACCAAATAGGCATAGTATTTCTTTCTTTAATGTATTAAATACCTTATAACCATACAGATCACCTTTGCAATTATATAATTAAAGTATCTTTTGATACAGTATAAAAACATAGGATTTTTATTTTTAAGCTTTTGACACAGCCTGTACAGTGCAATGTGTTTAGGAATCATTGACCAAAACATGATTGCCCTAAGTGGTCAGTGAACGGAGATTATGCATTGGGGCTGATTTGTGTACACATGGAACAGTCACCATACAGATACAATTTCAAGCCACCTCTGTGAGAAGGCCAGATTGTTAAAGGAACTTCTAAGCTGTGCTTTTTTCAGTACTTCAGATATTATTAAAATCAAAAATATTTGAAGAAATCTGCAAGTAAATCTTAATGAAAGAAGTTTTAGTATGTTATATCTTATAACATACTAAGAATATAATTTAGATTGGAGATTAGGCTTCTTTGTGGATTCTGTGTATCATACATATCGGCTGTGTGCTTGTGCAGAGCCTATGGCTGGAGAGATTTCCTAGTTAAGTGTTTTGGCGGGAGCCCCACCTTTATATACCACAGGGGGGTATTTTCTCCAGTTCGTTCTGGTATCTAGTCTGATAGTTATGCTAATTATAAAAAATAGGTGGCTGTTGTGAAACAATGATATTGGCTTAAATTAAACAAGTATTATGTTTTTATCTTTCATCATTTCAACAATACTCTGAGGTAGGTTAGAGTAAGTTTGTGCAACTAGCCTGCTTAATAAGCTTCATGACTGAGTAAGGATTTCTTCCTGGTCTTGGTCTGATGCTCTATGTACCCTCTGTCAATGATGGATACTTGCTTGGAGATGTCTGAAGTTAAAGCAGTCCCATAGAGAGGGAAGCTTTGCTATGCTGCTAGGCTTTCTTTGGGCTAGTGTGTATTGCTGCTAAGACTAGGGGGTATTGCTGCCCATAACAAATGAAATTTGACCAGTCACTTGACAGAGATGCACAAGCCTAACATCAATTGTTTTAACTTGGAGGAAAATCTACTGTGGTGGTGGTGGTGGTGGTGATGATGATGATGCTGATCATGACAATGAATTCTAAAATTACAGGCACAGATTGTTCTGTTGGTGATCCTGCTAGTAGCTATTGTGGACTTCATCATAGGAACATTTATTCCATTTGAGAACAAGAAGCCTAAAGGGTTTTTTGGCTACAAAGGTAAGGGAAGAAATACAAATTATCTCAAAATAGTTTATGTATTAGATTTATATCCAGCTTTTTTAATCTTTTGAAGAACTCAGAACAGTTTATATAATTCTCTCAACTTTATCCCCAGAATAACAGCCGTGAGAGTTAGGTTGGGCTGAGTGTCTGTGACTGGCCCAAAGTCACCCAGTTGCTGCAATAGTTGTCCAAAACTTCTTGATATTTCACTTATATTTGTACTGGCTGCATTTGTTGACTTGATAGGCATAGAATATCTGTTTTTCTTCAGTTTTATTCTTAGCTACAACATCATTTTACTAGACTGGAGAATGTTACTACTATATCTTGTTTTGAAATATTAAAGATGTTGCTCTGACGTGATAGCACACAGGCAACTCCATGTGCCAGTACACTTGATGCGCTTCTAACTTTCTTCTATCTGGGTGTATGCAAGGCTCCTCAAACTCATTTGAAATATATGAAGATTGTAAAGCAGTAATATTAAGGGTATTGCATTGAAAACCTTTGGCTTGGTTTAAGAGATATGTCACAGAAGCAGAAAGTCAATTCTGTTTATGCAAGGGAGCCCTGTCAAATTCTCACCGTTTTTCTGTGTCGTTTCAACCCCCTTGACCCAGCATTATTCCAAAGGTTCCATGATCTTTGGGGAAGAAAAATGGTGCTGTTTTGGGCAGAGGTAGAAGAACTACTAGAAAAGCCTTGTAGTACATTGAGTTCTGCTCATTTATCTGTGGAACAAGACCATTAACTTCAGTTTTATATGTTCCAATAAAACTGTCTCCAAACGTTACACTGTACTTCCCCCATATGTGTGTGCGTGTGCTTCCCCCATACCCCCACATTCTTGAAATAAAATTCACTGGGTGATTTTGGGCCATTCATTATTTTTCACTTTAACAGGGTTGTGGTGAGGAATAAAGTGAAATCTGGATAACCTTGTACGTTGCTAACATTTCTGTAAAGGAAAGTCACCATAGAAATCTGACTGGTAACTCTTTCTAGTGCCTTTGGTTGAAAAGTTTAGACATTTTAAAGAATACATATGGAAAGGTACAAATTAGGAATCCTGTATCTACATCCCATGCTAGCAGTAAGCATGTTGTACAATCTCTCATTATGCTTGCACTTGGGTTCCATGCATCTATCCTGTGACATTCCTCTTAATCCAAACTAGATCTAGTTCTGGTTCCCAGCTCAAATCCTGTCTGCCAGCTCCATACTGGAGAAGGGAGCTGGAAAACATCCTGCTGCTTACCAGATGCCAGCACTGATAACGTGACTGTTGCTGCACTGAGTATATTAAAAGCTGAGCCCTAGCTGAAATACAGTGCTGGCAGGGTGGAGGCAAATTCTCTTCTGCTTCTGCTTTTTCTAAATCCACAAAATCATAGAATTTGGTAAGGTGGTGAGATTTATAGAGAGACAAGGTAAACTAATTAAGGTGGTGCCTACTGAGCCCCCTGGTGGTGGTTGTTGTTAGTTGCGAAGTCGTGTCTGACCCATCGCGACCCCATGGACAACATTCCTCCAGGCTTTCCTGTCCTCCACCATCCCTCGGAGTCCACTTAAGCTCATACCAACTGCTTCAGTGACTCCATCTAGCCACCTCATTCTCTGCCGTCCCCTTCTTCTTTTGCCATCTGTTGTTCCCAGCATTAGGCTCTTCTCCAGGGAGTCCCTCCTTCTCATTAGGTGGCCAAAGTATTTGAGTTTCATCTTCAGTAAAGAGCAGTCAGGGTTGATGTCCTCTAGGACTGACTGGTTTGATCACCTTGTGGTCCAAGGGACTCGCAGGAGTCTGTTCCAGCACCACAATTCAAAGGCCTCAATTCTTTGGCTCTCAGCCTTCCTTATGGTCCAGCTTTCACAGCCATACATTGCAACTGGGAAAACCATAGCCTTGACTATATGCCCTTTTGTTGGCAGGGTGATGCCTCTGCTTTTTAGTATGCTGTCTAGATTTGCCATAGCTTTCCTCCCGAGGAGCAAGCGTCTTTTAATTTCTTGGCTGCAGTCCCCATCTGTGGTGATCTTGGAGCCCAGGAAAATAAAATCTGGCACTGCCTCCATTTTTTCCCATCTATTTGCCAGGAAGTGAGAGGACCAGATGCCATGATCTTAGTTTTCTTAATGTTGAGTTTCAAGCCAACTTTTGCGCTCTCCTCCTTCACCCGTATCAAGAGGCTCTTTAGCTCCTCTTCATTTTCTGCCATTAGAGTGGTATCATCTGCATATCTGAGGTTGTTGATATTTCTCCCGGCAATCTTAATTGCAACTGGTGATTTATCTAGCCCCGCCTTTCTCATGCTGTGCTCTGCATGTAAGTTAAATAGGCAGGGCGACAGTATACAGCCTTGCCGAACTCCTTTCTCAATTTTGAACCAATCAGTGGTTCTGTGTCCAGTTCTCACTGTTGCTTCTTGACCTGCATATAGGTTTCTCAAGAGACATATAAGATGGTCTGGTACTCCCATCTCTTTAAGAATTTGCCACAATTTGTTGTGAGCCACACAATCAAAGGCTTTAGCATAGTCAATGAAGCAGAAGTAGATGTTTTTCTGGAACTCCCTAGCTTGCTCCATGATCCAGCGTATGTTGGCAATTTGGTCTCTAGTTCCTCTCCCTCTTCGAAATCCTGCCTGTACTTCTGGTAGTTCTTGGTCCACATACTGCTGAAGCCTAGCTTGTAGGATTTTGAGCATCACTTTGCTAGAATGTGAAATGAGTGCAATGGTTTGGTAGTTTGAACATTCTTTGGCATTGCCCTTCTTTGGAACTGGAATGTAAACTGACGTTTTCCAATCCTGTGGCCACTGTTGAGTTTTCCAAATTTGCTGGCATATTGAGTGTAGAACTTCTACTGCATCGTCTTTTAAGATTTTGAATAGCTCAGCTGGATTACTGTTGCCTCCACTAGCTTTGTTGTTGCTCAGACTTCCTAAGACCCATTTGACTTCACATTCCAGGATGCCTGGCTCGAGTTCAGTGACCACCCCAACGTGGTTATCAGGGACGTTAAGCTCGCTCTTGTATAGTTCCTCTGTGTAATCTTGCCACTTCTTCTTAATCTCTTCTGCCTCTCTAAGGGTCCTGCCATTTTGGTCCTTTGTCATGCCCATTTTTGCATGAAACGTTCCCTTCATATCTCCAATTTTCTTGAAGAGATCTCTGGTTCTCCCTGTTCTATTGTTTTCTTCTATTTCTTTGCACTGTTCGCTTAAGAAGGCATTCTTATCTCTTCCAGCTATTCTCTGGAATTCTGCATTCAGTTGGTTTTATCTTTCTCTTTCTCCCTTGCCTTTTGCTTCCCTTCTTTCCTCAGCTATTTGTAAAGCTTCCTCAGACAGCCATTTTGCTTTCTTGCATTCCTTTTTTTTTTGGGATGGTTTTAGTTGCTACCTCTTGTACAATCTTGCGAACCTCCGTCCATAGTTCTTCAAGCACTCTGTCTATCAGATCTAATTCCTTAAATCTATTTGTCACCTGTACTGTATAGTCATCAGCAATATGATTTAGGTCATACCTGAGTGGCCTGGTGCTTTTCCCAACTTTCTTCAACTTAAGCCTAAATTTTGCAACCAGAAGCTCATGAACTAATCACAGTCAGCTCCTGGTCTAGTTGTTACTGACTATATAGAGCTTCTCCATCTTTGGCTGCAGAGCACATAGTCAATCTGATTTCTGTGTTGACCGTGTGGTGATGTCCATGTGTAGATTCGTCTCTTGGATTGTTGGAAAAGAGTGTTTGCTATGACCATCGTATTCTCTTGACAAAATTCTACCAGCCTGTGCCCTGCTTCATTTTGTACTCCAAAGCCAAACTTGCCTGTTATTCCAGTTATCTTTTGGCTTCCTAGTTTAGCATTCCAATCCCCCATGATGATAAGGACATCATTTTTGGTGTTAATTCTAGAAGGTGTTGTAGACCTTCATAGATCTGGTCAACTTCAGCCTCTTCAGCACCAGTGGTTGGGGCATAGACTTGGACTACTGTGATGTTGAATGGTTTGCCTTGGATTCGAACTGAGATTCTGTCATTTTGGAGATTGTATTCCAGTACTGCTTTTCCTACTCTTTTATTGACTATGAAGGCAACTCCATTTCTTCTGAGGGATTCTTGCCCACAGTAGTGTACCTGATGGTCATCTGAATTAAATTCACCCATTCCTGTCCATTTTAGTTCACTGATTCCTAAGATGTTGATGTTCAGTCTTGTCATCTCTTGTTTGACCACATCCAGCTTGCCTTGATTCATGGATCTTACATTCCAGGTTCCTATGGAGTATACATCTTTACAGCATTGGACTTTCCTTTCACCACCAGATACATCTGCAACTGAGCGTTCTTTTGGCTTTGACCCAGTTGCTTCATTCTTTCTGGCGCTACTAGTACTAGCCCTCCACTCTTCCCCAGTAGCATATTGGACACCTTCGTTGTGGCCTCTGTCCATCACACATATGGGTGCTGCACCTGCGCAGTGCATGAGGCCAGAAAGATTGCTAAGCTTAACAGTTTTTGGTGGGAAAACTCCCCTCCCCTCCCCTCCCCTCCCCTCCCCGCTAACGATATAAATGGAGCGGAGTGCCCACCATTTTCCCAATTTCTTGCGACCGCCTTTCGCTGTGCCTTGAGCCTTTATCTCTCATCAGCATTTGCCTATTTGATCTTTCCTTGTTACTACTTGTGTAACTCAAAGTTCTTCCTTCCTGTTAAAGTTTTTCCCCCTGTTTACTCTTCAATTCTCATTCATATATATATATATATATATATATATATTTCTACTATTCTTCTCTCTTTCTATCTGTTCCTTCCTATCTCTTCTCTCCTAGATTGTGCAGCATGCGGCTTTCCGCAAGTGTCTCCTCTGCCTCAGAGAGGGATACAGGATCAACAAATGCGGCCATTGTCAGGCCTTTACAAAACAGGCACAGAAAAATCGTGGAAATTTCCTGAGAAAACTGCTGTGGGACCAGGCCCTCATGCAGTCCGAT